GGGGGGGAGGGGCTATAGATCATGTGTGCCCACTAGAGAGAGTCTGGGGGTACTGAGAAAGCACCCCCTAGAGGGGATGGCCACACCACAGTCTCTTGTCCTCCAGTCTCTTCTTGGGGTTTTGGGCACACATGCACAACATGTTTTTCAAGCTTCCAGGTCTGGGACTTGGACTGTGTAGTTGGACATGAGGGATCTTGTCACCTTAACCACCACACTACTGGCTCACTCATTTCTTACAGCACTTAACATAATCATAATGAAATAATTGTAAGGATAAGGATAATTATTTGTCTTCATAGCTTGTAAGCTTCGTGCCCTTGGAGACCATGTCTTATCTCCTGCAGTATTCACAGAGCCTAGCAGAGTGCCAGCAGCATACAGTGTGCACAATTTTTCTTTTTTGGTTGAAAAGTACAGATGGTGTTAATTTTCCCTAGAAGTTTCATTTTATGGAAATAGAATGTCACATAAGAAACTAAAGAAAGATAAGCATTAAAAAAAATCAGGCGATTAACCAAGGTAGGCTGTGAAATAATGTCAAACATCAACACGTTTCTCAGCAGTTAGAAATTCTGGATGATGAGTTCGTTAAGTTCTCTATGTAACAGAACCAACAGGGAAGGAAAACGTGGCAGGGACCCCAATTATAGTCTCTGCTTGCTCCTCACTCAGCTTTTCGGGATTGAGCCCTTCAGAGGCTCAAGTCCTGTACTTGGCGACTTTCTTTCTCACTCTCTCTTTCTCTTACTGTCTCTCTCTGGTCAAATTTAATGTGAAGAATAATAAAAATAAATAAAAATTAAATAATTAAATAATACAAATAAATATAGGTGTTCACTGTACTATTAGCAAAAATTTAAGGGGCCAGGAGATGGCATAACGGTTATGTCACTGGACTCCCATGTAGTTGACTGGTTCAAGTCCCGAACACGGTGGCTTAAAACTCACACCAGACTTGTGTTCATGTGTCTTCAAAATCCTGAGGAGAATGGAGAAGAAGGGATTACAGCCTGACCATCCCCCCGGGGGTGATTTTTTGCTTCCATCTGTGGCAAGTACACACACTCTACAGTAAAATATCTCTCTAAAATATTTTAAAAATAAAATGAACAGAACAGTTCAGTGGCAATACAGTACATTCATAATATGCAACCACCATCTTTATCTAATTCCAAAACATTTTCATCAGCTCCAAATAAAGTCCAGTAACAATTAAGCAGTTACTTTCATTTACCACTTCCACCAGCTTCTGTCAACCACAAATCTGCTTTCTGTCTTTATTGGTTTGCTCTGGTCCCTGTTTAAACTAGACCTATTGGAAAGGGACATGCCATGTCCCAAAAGAAATTGTTGGGCTTTAGAGGGCTAGGTAGTATTAGGACTTCAGACTTATTTCTCTTTTGGGGGCTGACAGGTGGTGTGGTGGTTAAAGGTGCTGGACTCCCATGTGGCCGACCGTGGTTCAAGTCCTGGACCTGGCGACTTACTTTCTCACTTTCCCTTTCTCTCTCTCTCTGGTCAAATTAAAATAAACAAATGAATAAGTAAAATTACAAAAAGAATTATATCTCTTTTAAATATATATGTTCTTTAACATTTTCGAAGACTTTATACTTACATTAGTGGTATTATATGTGTATTTCATTGAAGTTTAATAATTCTCTTAATATTGTTAGCTTTTTTTTTTTCTGGAGAGATTTTTGCTATAGGGCGCGTGCGCTCGCCAGACAGACAGAGAGAGACATAGAGACAGAAAGCGAGAAATCACCCCCCAGCGGGGATGGTCACACCGCAATCCCTTCTCCTCCATTCTCCTCTTGGGATCTTGGGCACGCACGCACATGCGCCCGGCGTGAGTTTTAAGCCACCGGGTCCGGGACGCAAACCGCGGTCGACTACGTGGGAGTCCAGCGACATAGCCATTACGCTAACTGCTGGTTCCCAATATTTTTAGCTTTTTGTCCTAAAACCATATAGTAATTACATTGATAGTTACTTATAGTAATCAGATATTAATGTTTTATTTGCACATGTGGCGTTGTGCCTCTCTGCAGTCAAGCGGGGTTACTCAACCACTGTACAATTGACATTTTAGGGTGGGTAGTTCTTGGTTCTGGGGGGCTGTCTTGTGTGTAGTGGCATTTTTGGCCTTTATAAGAAATTAGTAGAATCCTTTCTTCGCCATTTATTACAACCAGAAATGTTTCTAGACATTGTCAAATGTCCTCTCAGGGACAGAGTTGCCCCTGATTGACACCAGTGCATTAGATAATTCCCGAGGATCTAACATTTCTTTTTTTTTAGTAAGAAAAGATTTAATACATTACATAAAAGAAAAAGTCAGCATAGGCTGTGCCCCTGTGATGCAGTTAGTATTGTATTGGACTGTGGAACTGGGAGCCACATGCTATCTGTGGTTCAAGTCCCCGGCAGATTAGCCTGAAAACATGCCAGACATGTGTGCCTAGGGTCCTGGTGGGCAGGAGGAATGGAATAAGGGAATTACTGAGCCCCGTGGAGGGGGCTTCTCTCTCTCATGTGCGTGTGCGCACATGTAAGTCTGCTCTAACATGAATTTTAAAAAAAGAAATAGTCATCAGAGTGTGGTAAAGGAGAATTGCTAGATTACCCATGGAAATTGATTTTTTTTTTTTTGAGGGGTTTTCGCTATAGGGCACGTGCGTTCGCCAGACAGACAGAGACAGAAAGCGAGAAATCACCCCCCAGGGGGGATGGCCACGCCGCAATCCCTTCTCCATTCTCTTCTCGGGATCTTGGGCATGCACGCACACGCGCCCGGCGTGAGTTTTAAGCCACTGGGTCCAGGACGCGAACTGCGGTCAACTACGTGGGAGTCCAACGACATAGCCATTACGCTAACTGCTGGTCCCTGGAAATTGATTTCTTATAATCACTCCAAACTGCTTACATTCTTTGAAGAATTTTACTTTAGGGTTCTATTTTGTGTTTTTTTGTCAATATCCTCCTGGCTGATCATGTAAAGTTCCCTGTTTGGTTATGTCATGCTAAAGAAATTCATCTTGATTGCTTAATAGGAAGTAATTTCATAGAGAAGGTAAATACAAGCATTTAAGCGTGTTTGCAAATACATGAAGCACTCAAATTGTTTTAAAATACAACAAATAATGTAGCAGTTGAAAAAAGAGGAAGTTTTTTTTTTTTAACACAATTTTTCTTTCTTTGATGCCAAAATAATTTAAGACAGTGATCTTATGGTATTATCTCTTACTGATAATAAATTCTTCATTTTTGTGCTTCTGTCTGTTTTCTCAGGGTTTAAAGGCTCATTGGTTACTAAAAGTTTACTGTTGGTTACATTGTTTACTAAAAGTTAATGTCCGTTTTTTTTGGAGAGGTTTTGCTATACGGTGCATGCACTCGCCAGAAAGATAGAGACAGAAATCACCCCCCAGGGGGAATGGCCATACCGCAATTCCTTCTCCTCCATTCTCCTCTCAGGATCTTGGGCACACATGCACACATGCCCAGCCTGGGTTTAAGCCACTGGGTCCAGGACTCGATCTGTAATCGACTACATGGGAGTCTAGCAACATAGCCATTACGCTAACTGCTGGTCCCAAGTTTACTGTTCTTAATAGTCACATGTTAAATGAATTAAATTTAAAATGAAATATTTTTCTTGATCTAAATTTTTTTCATAATAAATATATGGCCTACTTAATTATAATATTTTCATAGATTTCCTACAAAGTTGAAAATGACTTTTTTAAGGTTTTTGCCATAGGGCACATGCACTTGCCAGAAAGAGACAGAAAGTGAGAAATCATCCCCTAAGGGGAATGACCATGACATAATCCCTTCTCCTCCATTTTCCTCTCAGGATTTTGGGCACTACTGTGACTTTTAAGCCTCTGGGTCCAGGACTGGAACCGTGGTCAGCCATGTGGGGAACCCAGCATCTTAACCACCATACTACCTACTGACCCCTAAAAATGACAGTTAAGGTTTTTTTCCTATGAGCCAGTTTACTAACTAGTTTGTGGATTTATTTACTAGTGAAATATAATTGGGGATAAAATGGGGGGGAAGGGCCAGCCTATAGTGTTTGATTTGTGCTGAGCAAAGGAAGCTTGATTCCATTTGTCTAACCAGGATTTGATTCCTGGTTTTGGTTATTTACATTCCAGACTTACATGCATATAACTAGGATCCTGACAGAATAGAGAATTAGAGGGAAAAGATTGTGTCAAGACCAGGCCCCTTTGGAGGGTGCTTTCTCTCCCTTCTCTCCTCTCTCACTGTGTTTTGTAAATGCACTCTCTGGCATTAAAAGTAATTGGTGGGGGGACTAGCAGATGGCTTAATGGTTACATCACTGAACTCCCACATAGTCGACCATGGTTCGAATCCTAGACCTGGTGACTTAAGACTCATGCCAGGTGTGTGTGCGTGCATTCCCAAAATCCCAAGAGGACAATAAAGGAGAAGGGATTGCGTTGTGGCCATCCCCCGGGGCGTGATTTCTTGTTTTCTGTCTGTCTGTCTCTTTCTGTCTCTGTGGTGAGCACATATACCATATAACAGAAGTCTCTCTTTAAAAAAAAAAAGTAATTGGGGAGAAATATGATGGGTGTGAATGACGAAAGAAAGCCAAAAAAGAGAAATTTAATGTAGTATCACTAGGTATTATCAGTTAAATAGTAGGGCCGAGAGATGGTGTTTTAAGTGGCTTTTTACTGGGCATAAAATACTTCACAAAATAATTGGAAGAAAAAGTCCACAGAGTGGAACTTCAGCACCCTTATTGACATAGTAAAATTCATTTTTAGTAAATTATATTCAGTTTTCATTGTATGGAAGTTGGGGAAGAAGACCGTTCCTATATAATCCTTTATACCTAAGTGTTTGCTTAGATGTACAAAGGGATACTGTTAATATAATGTGCTTTTACGGCTTGTCCTGTCCATATGTACTTGGAGTTATCTCATTACATTCTTATCATTTTCCTTGTTTAGGGACTATGTTAGGAGTGAACTGGAATCTGCCTATGAAGGACCAATGTATTTAGAACCTCTCTCTATGAATCGGTTTACCACAGCCTTAATAGGTAAGTATTCTAAAAGAATTAAAAATGCACATAGGACCCAGTCAGTCTTAAACTCTTTTATGAACTTGGGCAGTGCTCACTTTAAAAAAAGAAAATTGGAAAACTCAGTTATTCATGGGGACTTTTTGCAAATACAATCCATTGTTTAATGTTTTATTTTCTTAATCTTTTTTCCCCATGTATAGATGTTTCTTATTTTATGTTTTTTAAATTTTATTACACATAGCCCATATTTGCTTTTTTTTTTTTTTTTTTTTTT